TATCTTTCGTGTAAGATGTTTCGGGTAAGCCTCTTACAAGATTCCTTTTTGCAAGCTTATTTATTGTCTTCATGTTCAAGTGGCTTAGCTTGTTGTGCCATTCTTGATTGAGATCTGCATTGCTCTTGGCTACAAGACAAATGTTAGTATTAGAAGAATTTAATGAAATTACATACATGTTCTTCTTTCGTTGGCCTGTAAGTGCTGTCCTGCCATCCTTCGTGTTTATGATTTTGCACTCTTCTTTAAAGAATTCTACTTTGTATCCTTTGTCGCAGAACTGACTTGTGCTTAGAAGGTTGAATTTAAGTCCTTCTATATAAGAGACATCTTGTATGATTATTCCTTTCTTGATGATATCTCCTTTTCCTCGAGTTTGGCCACTTGTTTCTCCTCCAAAGATGACTTTGGGTCCATTTATTTCTTTGAAATTGCTCAAAATTGTTTTGTCACCAGTCATATGTCTTGAGCATCCACTGTCTACATACCATATGACCTGTTTCTCCTGCATCAAAGATTATGTATTTTTAGGTACCCACTTAGTTTCGGGTCCTTGGGGGTTAGTAGTCAATTTTGGAACCCATATTAACCTAGAGTGCACATGACTCATCTTTGGTCCTCTGTATCCGTTGGAGGTGCGATAATCGAAATAAACACTGGCAAAGATTTTGTCCTTATACTTCCTTTGTTGCTCTTTTGGTGGAAGATTTTCATAATGCCAACGATAATTGGTTTGTTTACGTCGATGTGTTATCTTAAGAGCTTTCCTCGAGAGGAGTTCCGGGTAATCAAACCAATCTTCTTCTGAAGGCCCAGTCCTTCCATTCCCATACCCAGATCTTCTGAGGATCCTTTCAGGTTGTTCGTTCTTTGAGATTTCCTTAGCAGAACTCTTTGGACGATATTGCCTCTGGTTAACATTTGTCTTTTTATAGGATCGAGAATTCCAGTTAGGCTGACTCAATTTTTGGTGTGGACTTTTTCCACTGCCATTTGGTCCATTCCTTTTGACACATATTTGTCTAGGATTGCCTTTACTAGGTTTTCTCTTTCCTGTTTCCACAATTCGTTGTACAGCCTTTCCTTTCGGTTGGCTTGTTGATTGTGGTGCTGTGACATTGTTATGTACCATCATAGGCTCGGGCAGCTGGGTTGGTCCTTGAACAAATATGGTTGCAAGACTCTCGTGTGAGTATGCATTCGTGGATTTGTTCGTTTCGACTTGTGAGGAGGAGCTGGAGTTAAAACCAATTCCGGTTTTCTCTCCGGGCAGTCTGGATTCGTTTAACATTCTGTCCATTAAGTTGGATGAATTGTTAAACTTGTCCAACACTTCAAGCAATTCTTGCTCTCTCTTTTCTTTTGCTGTGCACTGCTCCTTAAGAGCGAGAACATTTTTCTCGAGCTGCTCCTTAGCAATGACCAGCATTTTGTTCTCAATGCGAACTTGCTCTAATTCATTATGGCTAGTCATGAGCCGAGAGTTCTCCTCTTTTAGCTTGGAGTAAGTGCTATTTATCAACTTAAACCTCCTCATCATTTCAGTGACAGATTCACTGGAGGTTTGACTCACTAAAGAACTTGATTCGGCTGAATAGCAAGAAGAAGAGTGAGAGTTTACCTCTTCTTCATCTGCCATGAGGCATAGTTCCTCTGATTCTTGGCTGTAGAGGCATAGTAGTCCTTTTTCCTCATCACTGCTTTCGTCTTCTGAGCTTGAGCTTGAGGTACTACTTTCAGGTATAGCTTTTTCAGTGTTTTCGGCAACCACCATTGCTTTTCTTCTTCCCTCACTCCTGGAGTTTGATGATTCTGGTTTATCACTTTTCTTGTGCTTTTCTCCAGATTCCCTTGAGGAGCTTGTGATATCGTTGCCATCTTGATATTTGCTAACCATTGGATAAGGGCAGTTCGCTTTGAAGTGCCCTGGCTTTCGGCAGTTGTAGCACAACAGCTGTGAATCAGTGGTTTCGGTCTTTGAAGCCTGAGGGAAGCTTTCATGCCTCTTTCGGTGGCTTGACCGTTGTGGATCTTGAAAGTTGTTCTTTCTCATGAATCTTTTCATCTTCCTGACAAATAGGGCATATTGTTCGTCAGTTAAAAAATCACAAGAGTTAGATTTCGACCTGTTAGGGGTTGACGCCGCCTGATTTGCTACGAGGGCAATATTTCTCGTTTCTGGTTCCTCAGCATCTTTCGGTTCATGTTCAAACTCATATGCTTTGAGATCACTGAAGATTTTGGCTGTGGGTGTTGTTTTCATGTCACGATTATCTCTCATCGCGATGACCTTCATCTCCCATGACTTCGGCAATCCACGAAGAATTTTAAGATTCATCTCCTTTTCGGTGAGTTCTTTTCCAAGGTCTGATAAGTCTCCCATTAGTCTTGTGAATCTTAGCTCCATCTCCATGATCGTCTCGTTTGGTTGCATCTTAAAGTCTTCGAACTTCTTCATGGCTATTGTCAGTTTGTTGTCCTTTTCTTGTTCATCTCCTTCTCCCAAGTCCATTAGAACTTTCCATACTTCCATAGCATTTTTAGATTTCCTGACTCTGGGGAAGAGTGAATCATCTAGAGAGTTGTAAAGAATGTTCCTTGCCACATTGTCCAGGTTTGCTCTTGTTCTTTCTTCCGAGGTATACTGCTCTTTCGGCTTAGGTATCATTTGTAGAGCATCTGGTCCTTGAGCAGCAGCCTGTGCATTTGCCATCATCACTGTGATAGGTCCAGTAGTTATGACGTCCCACATTTCATCATGAATAGAGCACAGAAGAGCCTGCATTCTTAATTTCCAGTCATCAAACTTGGCAAGACTAAAAGCAAGCTGTTTAGAGCGATTTTGTGCATATTCTTTTTCCATTTAAAAAAATCGTGCAACGAAGAAGATCCAAAAAAAAAAAAAGGTGGATCTACCAGGCAGTAAAATGCAAAAAGCCTTTACCGTTCAAGGTATTCGGCTCTGATACCACTTGTTGGTCCCGATAGATTGTGTGGTGAGTCTAGAGGGGGGGGGGGTGAATAGACTCTCGTTTTTCTTTAGATTTTTAAAAGAAAAACCCTGACAACACTTTTGAGTAAGATAAGCACAGCGGAAAGGTTATAAAGAGAGGGTTGCACGAGTTTGATAAAAAGATAAGATGAGTGATGAAAAAGATGATATGCAAGCAGTAAAATAAAGCAGTAAGTAAAGAGAAGAGCGAGACGAGATTTTATAGTGGTTCGGCCAAACTTTGCCTACTTCCACTCTTCTTCCACAACTGCTGGAAGGATTGCACTATCACTCTTTAGTACCATTACACAAAGACTTCCTTGATCACTAAGCCAGACAGCCTTTGAAGGTTTTTCAACTCCGAGAGTTTACTCCGCCTCTATCAACTTCTTCTTCTAAGTTGAGGTTGGTGAGAAAGTATTTCTTGATTCCTCCAACTGTGAAGTCTTGTTGGTGTGGGATGATTGCTTCAAGAGTGCAAGACTTCTTACAAGATGTAGGCCAGTGATGGGTGATCTACTTCAAATGCCTTAACACCTTAAATAACTGGTTCGCAAAAAGCTTTGAGATTGTTCACTTTTTAAGAACTTTTTGCAAGAGAGTGAGTAGAGTGATAATGAACCAGCACCTTCTTAGTTGATGAAGGTTGGTTTATATAGGTGATGAAAATTCATCCGTTGGAGGGAGATGAATTTTTCAAACCTTTTATCTGTTGGACAAGGACCATGGAGCCTCATGCATTTAATGCTCCATTAATGGGTTTGTACTATGTAGCTGTTGAAGGTATGGAGGATCTGATGACTTTTGTCTTTTAGCTCCAGAGATAGTACAACTTCATTAAATGCTCTTTGGATAGCGTGTCCCATGAGTTGAGGTCCTTATTGTCCTAGGATGTTGTCAAATCAGACAGGTAGAACATTCTTCTTGTTGATGAGAAGAAGAATACTTGTTGAGATAGTCTTGAAAAGAACTGTCTTTTTAATGACAACTCCTTCTTTCGTTGCTGTGGAGTCTTCTTTCGCCTTGATCAGCCTATCTTCTATTCATAACTCTTTTCGTGTGTTTGTTCTAGCTTAACACGAATTACATATGAGTTATGGCAACTTTCGTCTAGAACGAAAGTAGCGATACAATAAAAACGTAAGAGATAGGGGTCTACTTTCTACATTACATTGGTATCATCAAAATCCTAATACAAGGTTCCTAACAGTACAAATAAGTAACTGAAATATTTGGGAAAGGCAATTAAGTCATCAAACTCAAATAACCCTTAATAAGTCATTGAATCCGAAAAAAAAAAAAAAAAAACAATTAACATTTTTAACAAGTTAAGTTCAGGTTTTTGCTGATTGAATTGCCAAATTTAAAATAGTTTTAGTCTGGTTAGACACATAAAATGAGACGAAGGGAGTAATTAATTGTAGCTAGGTAGCTAGCTTCCCCGACCCAAATATGATATTATATGATGATGACGACGATGAGGATGATGTTGCAGTTGATTACAGCAAATACCGGCCACTATACAGAGCAATATTGGCAGCAAATTGGGATGAAGCTCAAATATTCTTCAACCAAAACCCCGCAGCAATTCAATCTCCACTTAAGACGGACTTAGAGAGTGCATTGCATGTTGGTGCTAGAGTAGGTAATGCCTCCTTTATGGAAAAGCTTGTAGCATTATTGTTGGACCATGAACTTAGCCCCAGAGACGACTATGGGTCTACCCCACTTCACATCGCTGCCCGGCATGGAAACATTGAGGTGGCTCATATCCTTGTTCGCAGGAATTCTAATCTCCTCTATCTTCAAAACAAACAAGGTTTTTTCCCCATCCATTATGCAGCTGGGAATTATCGCAAAAGCAAGGACGCCTTTCTGTATTTCCTTCGTCTCACTAGGGATGATGAATACGGACAGCCTAATCCATATGCAGGCCCAACTGGTGTCACTATGCTTGTTGAATTAATCATATATAAATTCTATGGTACGTGTATATAGTCGTCCAACTATATCTTAATTAGCCTCTTTGCTTAGCTAGCTTATTATAATTTATATGTATATATATATACAGATTTGGCTCTGCAATTGGTTGAAAGGTACCCTGACTTGGGCCATCATAAGAGGTTAGGTAACCATGTATCAGCTTTGGATGCCATAGTTATTTATGACTATTCCATTGTTAACAAACACAGTCTAAACTTTTGGCAAAGTTTCATATACTATTGTGAGTAACTTTTCCGTTTCTATTGTCTATCTTTATTTATATATATACTTAGGCTCTGTTTGGCAACGCTAAGCTAGGAGCTTATAGCTTATTTTAAGCTACTAATAAGCTATAAGCTGTTTGGTAATGTTCCCAAAATAAGCTCCTAGCTTAAAATAAGAGTTTATTTTGGAACGCTACTTTAAGTAGCGTTTCAAAATAAGCTACTAGCTTCCTAACTTTTTTTCCATCTTTACCCTTATTATTTTAAAGTAATGACATATTTTAACCTTATGAATTAAAACTCTTTCTCTTCCCCTATACCAACTTTCACGTCAATCCCTTCCTTAGTCTTCTTTCCTGCTAAACAATTATGTTGAAACTTTAGCTTATTATTATTATTATTATTATTATTATTATTATTATTATTATTATTATTATTATTATTATTATTATTATTATTATTTTAAAATTAGCAATATGGCTTCAATCGTGCACATTCTTCTCTTCGAAGTTGTATTGAGAGGTCGTTTGGAGTATTGAATAAGAGATGGAAGATACTTGCTAAAATGCCACAGTTTAGTGAGGAGACCCAAATTGTTGTTATTATGGCCACATTTGCACTAAATAATTATATTCGGAAAAATTCACAAGATAACATGATGTTTAATGTGCTTGAGCAGCATCAAGATTACATACCGCCCAATGAACTTCAAGATTCAAGTAGTAATATCTCCATCAATGAAAATTTAAGTCACACCTCTATGGAGATGAAGGAGATTCGCAACAATATTGCTACTTCATTATGGAATGCTAGATCATGATCATGCTAATAGTTTTATTTTAAAAAGTGTTTACTTTTTTTGGAAGACGAAATGTTAAAGTTTAATATGTAAACAAACTAATTTATATTTTATGAAGATGTCCTTTTTAGTCTTTTTACATTTATCAGCTTATCAAAAAGCTAATTTTACCAAACACTTTCAATCATAACAGCTAGCTTAACAACTCTTCAATTTTTCAGCTCCGAGCTTATAGCTTTTCAGCTTTCAGCTCCTTTTCAGCTATCAGCTCCTAGCTTATAGCTTTTCAGCTAGGTTTGCCAAACAGAGCCTTATTCTAGCTTCAATCTCGTGCTTGCCAGCCAATTAATTACCACTCATTTGAATTTTTAAGTTATTAGTAAAAATTATTATTGCATTGCATGCAGGTGTTTCTAAGGTAGAGTCAACAACATCTACACCAATTTCCCACCTCATCACCTCACTACTACAATGTATGGATGTGTGTGTGGATACATAACTACCTAACATGACCACATCAGATCAGAATATATAATTGGAAGATATATAATAGCAAAACTAATAGATTTTGTTTATTTTTATTGTTTTAATTCGATATATCTATCTATCTATCTACCAGGGCTGGTAGAGAAGAGCATAGTAAACAAAATGGTGCTACACCACCAAGCTATGAAGCTTCTTAAATGCTTGTGCGATCAACTCAAAACCCTAAATGATACACAAGTGACCTCACTCACAGATAATGCACTCCTTGAAGCAACGAGTTTAGACATTTGGCAAGTCATCTTAAATGTTGCGGAAGCATATCCTTTGACGGTTTATTTCGGAAACTCCATGCGCCAGAATATACTTCACGTTGCAGTAATGAATCGTAGCGAAAATGTTTTTAACCTTGTTTGTCGAACCAGTGTGCTTAGGACTAATTTTCCGGATTATAGAGACACAGATAATAATAGCGTTTTGCATTTGGCTGGGAAATTGGCACCTCCCCAAAAACTAAATCTTGTTTCTGGTGCAGCTCTTCAAATGCAACGAGAGCTTCAATGGTTTAAGGTATGGTATGTCACAATATCTTATATATTCTCCCCCATTGTTTCATTTTTGTTTTTGTTTTTGTTTTTTTGATCACAATGAAACTCACCACCACATACTACACTACGGTGCGTAGGCTCCATGCCAGTCTTGTGACCTCAATCTAAGGAGGTAAACCACTTAGGTGATTCCATTGAGAGTCAAACTTGTGATCTTGAGGTTATGAAGTCAACAGGTTGTAGACCAATTTGGTTAGGGTTGGGGCTGGGGTTGTCTGTCCAACATAGTGCATCCACTGCTGCATTTTCTTATTGTTTTTGTTTCGAAGTGGTGGATGAATGAATTTTGTCTTGTTTTGCTTTGCATACTGAGAGGCTGCTAATGAGAGCGAAGTTGCTAATGAGAGATTCAAAGATTGTGAAAAAGAAGGGGATTGTGAAAATTTTCTATTCTGCTTCCTTCTGAGGTCGTAATTCTGAACTACTTACGCACATTAAGTACAAATATCAGCCACATTAAACACAAGACTCAGGCACATTAAGTACAAAACTCACGCACATTAAGTACAAAGCTCAAGCACATTAAACACAAGACTCATGCACATTAAGTACAAAGCTCAGGCACATTAATCAACTGCACGGAAAGCCACAAATGCACCTGATCCCTTCCCTATATATATATATATATATATATATATATATATATATATATATATATATATATATATGATTCATTTCATCTGATCTGCAGGAAGTGAAAAAAATTACACCATCACATTTCTTGTCATGTCTGAATAAAGATGGCAAAACTCCGAGTATGGTCTTTACGGAGAAGCATAAGGAGTTAAAAGAGGCAGGGGAGAAATGGATGAAAGACACAGCAACTTCATGCACAATTGCAGCAGGCCTCATTGTTACTATAGTCTTTGCAGCATCCATTACAGTTCCTGGTGGCAACAGTGGTGAAAATGGCCTCCCAATCTTCTCAAACTACACTGCTTTCACAATATTTGGCATTTCAAATGCTGCATCTCTCTTCACATCCGCCACTTCCTTGCTCGTCTTCTTGTCCATCCTAACTTCGCGCTATGCAGAACAAGACTTCCTATACGCTCTTCCCAAGAGATTAATCATAGGCCTCTTCACCTTGTTTTTGTCCATAATATTTATGATGATTGCCTTCTCCGCCACAGTGTATCTGGTATTTGGGCATGACAGAAGGGGAGTTGTTATTATAGTGGCTGGATTTGCATGTTTGCCCGTCACTTCATTTGTGCTTCTTCAATTCCTTCTACTTGTAGCTTTGGTGTCATCTACGTATGGACGGGGCATTTTCGATCAGCGTCGCTTTCCCGAGCTCCCATATTGACTTGCATGCCACTCATAATTAATTGGTTGATGATAGGCAAACTCTAGACGTTGTAATGTTTGGTCTTCATTCCGATACTCCGGCAACACTATGGTGTGATAATCTTGGCGCCACCTACTTATGCGCTAATTCTGTTTTTCATGCTCGAACGAAGTATGTTGAGATTGAATTTCACTTTGTTCGTGACAAAGTAGCATCCGGAGACTTTCTAGTCAATTTTGTATCTACTAAAGATCAACTGGCCGATATCTTTACAAAATCGCTTCCGGCTTCGCGATTTGAGATTCTACGTGGCAAGCTTAATGTTGTCTCCCTCCAACCTTCAGCTTGAGGGGTGTATTAATGTATATCAAATCAAATCATTGTAATTGTATGTTACAATTCTTTACATTATGTAATTGATACTTACCTTACTTAGAATAGCCTTAGTCAGGATTATATATTTGTAATATTCCTTAGAGTTATTCTATCAATCAAAGACATACATTCATACTAGGCAAGTTTCAGCCAAACTACATTTTCTAGTAGGGATTATGAGATTTCTCGTGAATATAATCAAAGAGACTAGTTTCACATAATGCAGGTACAATATCCTATATCATTGACATCTACAAATCTAATAAGAGCCAATAAAGTTATGTCCTGGATTCTGTAATTGTTTGTTGAAATGAATGGTTAATATGATTTTGATTTTAATATTTCTTTTATGATTTTCATTCCTTATCCTCTATATATTATTTTCTTTCCGTAAATAACCATGCATTCCGTTACTATAAACTTTAGTAACAGAAAATTCCTTAAGGGGGTGTTTGGTTCGAGTCATCTTAGATTACCTAGGTTATCTAGTCTGTTAATGTTTTATTACCTTGTTTGGTTCAAATGATGAGATTACCTAGTAATGTTATATTACCTGAAAGCTGATGTGGCGGTAATGTTTCAAGGTAATGTGATTACCCCTATTTTTTTAGGTAATCTTAGATTATCTTGAATTATTCCAACTTTGCCCTTGTTAACTAATCCTTATATAATAATAATAATAATAATAATAATAATAATAATAATAATAATAATAATAATAATAATAATAATAATAATAATAATAATAATAATAATAATAATAATAATGAAATAAATATATATTTATATAATCAAATATACATGTGTGTATATTTACATATTTAGTTTTTTTTTTTAATATTTAAGCATTGATATACATTCATACATATAAATAAATAAATAAATAAAAATAAATAAATAAATAAATATATATATATATATATATATATATATATATATATATATATATATATATATATATATATATATATATATATATTATTGAGGACCTTATAGTAAATTCATCCATATAACCTAAAATATAACCCTTTACCAAACAAGGTCATATTATATTATACAATCCAAACCAAACATATAAGGTAATCTTAAATTCCTAAAATCTCACATTACCTCCCTGGAGGTAATGCTATTACCTGGGGTAATCCAAGATTCCGTGAACCAAACGCTCCCTAAGTATTTATTATTCTTAACTTACTCATTAATTTCTATAAGAAATGTCTTAGGTTCGAACCCCATCACAATCAGAGTTGGCATAATTGTTAAACATATACTACAAATATGTTATAATGTATTAAAAAATACAATAATTTGCCCGACTAAATACATAGCATTCAGGAATATTGAAAATCATTTTCTTGCATAAAAAAAAAACATATTTATGTTAAGTTTTGTTTTTTTTTTTCGATTAATTAATCTTCTTTTGATTGTTTAGAACAAGATTCAATATTTCAATTATGCTTTTGCATTATATATTGGAATGATTTAGGTCATTATTGTATTAATATTTTTTGTATGTATTTATATAATTGTACAATTGTACATTACTTTACAAATATTTTACAATTATTTTTTTAATGGACAAAATTGTTCTTACATCATTGTCAGACCTGGGTGACTTAACTACAAAGTTGTTGATCAGAAATACAACTACATTGGACTCTAAACGGTATGACCATTGTCCAAAGAATTGACAATGCTCATATACACAGCAAGGCAAATCTAAAACTTCATACACCATAATTTCATTGCATGATGCTAACCTTGTTTGTGGATGTTTGGAATAAGTGTATTTAGATTTTGATGATACCAAACTGTCTTAGATTGTAGACCCCCATTTTTCGTTTAATAGGTAAGTCTCGTATGAAATAGGCATGAGATGTTAAACCATGCACGAGACTAGTAAAATAGGTCTACATGAAGATGATCGAAAGATGCCTCCAGACGAAAGAAGGATTAAAGCAAGTCTCGGATGGACTGTTTGAAAAAGGAACTTTCGTCTAAAAAGAAAGGACGAAAGATGAGGACAATCTCTCATCCCTCTTTCCTAAGTAAACAAGTCAAGGACAGACTTGTAGAAAGACAACACTCATTAAAGGAAACAATGAGAATGTTGTCTTTCACTCAGTTGGGCAAATCATTCGGACAAAAAGTGTCCTAGGAATGATTTTCACTAAAGACAATGAGCATTAAAAGACTTGTACTATCTTGTCAGAGATCAAGGACAAAAGCCATATTGCTTTTGGCTCCAACGGCTATACAGTACAAGTGCATTAAATGCTCAATGCCCACTGAGTAATACACACTGGTTATTAGGTTTGAAATTTTCATCTCCCTCTAACGGATGAATTTTTCCACCTATAAATACCTCTCTTCACCATTGAAGAAGGTGCTGGTTAACTCACTCTTGCAATCTTAAGAAAAGCTCTTCAAAGCAGTTTCATCCTCAAACCTTTTCATAACCAGTGTTTATTGTGAAGTTTTTCAAAGGTTCATCCATCATCATACTTCACAACTTGAAGCAGTCTTGTACTTTTCTCAAGTGAAGATCATCCAGACGACAAGACAAGCTTCAACCTGTTGGAGAACCATCATATTTTCTTTCCAACATCTCAACTTAGGAAGAAGTTGATAGAGGCGGAGTAAACTCGAGGAGTTGAAAAACCTTTCAAGTGGCTGTCCGGCTTAGTGATCAAGGAAGCCAGCTTGAAGTAGTTTGTACTAGGAGTGATAGTGCAAACCCTTTCACGAGTTGTGAAAGAAGAGTGGAGTAGGCACAGTTGGCCGAACCACTATACAAATCTTTCTGTCCATCTCTCTTTACTTATCGCTTTTAATTTCGTGCTTTGCATATCATATCGCCCAAACGCCAAATTTTATTAACACGAAAGCGTGCAAAGAATAGTTAAAACAAAACTCTATTTCCGTTGCGTATATCTCCGAAAGGAGCTTAGTCGAAAAGAATCGATTAGAGTCTATTACCCCTCCCCCCCCCCCCCCTCTAGACTCTCTCTGACACTACCGGGACCAACAGTGGAACATATGGTCTTCTGCATGCTATATTAGATAACATAGACAACAACAGT